GAATTTGTGTGAAAAATGCAATAATTTGTCAAATTCGGAAAGGGAAATTCATCATTTACCTGCAAGTATTTCTAATAATTATAATTATTTTAAAAAGATTAGATCAACGCCCGCCCTTATAAATCATATAATAAACAATTAACTCTTCAACTCTTCCATTTACCTTCCATTCTAATTCTTGTTCGTCCAATTTCCCAGTTGTGCTCTCAAACAGACGTTTTTCTTAAAATTGGATTTCATAGTTAGCATAGAAACACCATAAGACAAGTCTCTCAGAATATTAATCACATACCTTTTGAATGTAAACCAACTCTGAGAACTGATTCAAAAAAACTCTGGTAGCAGACCCCGTTGAAGTATTTCGACGTTAACGTATGTTGAATTGAAGAAGTCTAGTATGTGACGAGCATATATTTCATAGATCACATACAAAATAAGCTGATTTTTATTCAAAGGTTTTATTTGCTAACGCTTTTTTTTTATTTCGTTAAATTTTTTAGTTACAAACATATATTAGTTGTTGAGAATTAGAATGCGCGACCTGAATTTGTTGTCAAGAAGATATACAGTACATAGAGTTTGAAAAGAACACAGAAGAGAAATACAAATTATTTGTTGCAAATATTATCAACGGTATAAGTGGGAAGGAGACTGTAGTGTGTAAATAAAGTAATATATATCATATATATCGGGATGTTATATCACTGTCTACAAACGAACTTGTTTGTTGATATTTCTCACGCAGGTTATACGTATTTATGATATAAGCTTCACCTCTGCTTATGGTAAAAAGAAACTCGACTCCTTTCCAAAAAAGACTATTAACAATTACAACGACACGGAATTGGTAATCGGTTTAATTGATTTATGATGTCACCACCTCATAATTTCATGATCTTCGAGACGTTCTTTGCGTTTCGATTCATGCAAATGAGCTTGTAATCATGTGTATTGAATACAATATCTGAAAAATTGTTTCTTGTAGCAAAGCTTTAAATGCTTTCTAGTTACTTAGTGGAATCAACATATTCGTCAAATGAACATTAACTGTTTTATTCTGTACCATTACAAAATATAAATGAGTCATCTGTACAGAATTCATAAAACTGTGTCAACTATATTCACCTTTGTAGCAGACACTTCAATATTGTCATCATCTTTTCTAGTTCGTTTTCTCTAATTGCTTCCGATATGTAAGTTGTTGTTTATCAAATATATACGATTTTGATTCGAAAAGATATTCACGTGAATAGCAAAAATTGGATATCCCGTGATATTAGTTTACTCATAAGATTAGGTTAAGTAATATTAGCCACATAATACATATATAATCACATAATCCGAGCTTTTTTTAATGGGTAGACAATACAAAATATATTCTTAATAATAACCCGAATGCTTTAAAATGTATAAAAAAATGTAAAATCCATTTGGAACAGAATTCAGAAAATGATTAGTGATGTAGAAAATTATCACAATAAAAGAACTTTTCAAGCAACGTGGAATAAAACAAATAATAAATTCTGGTTATAAATTGTGAATTTATTTAATTTCTATAGTATGAATAGATTGACATATTAGACATAGTCAACATATTAGATATATTTGTCATATATGATAAATTAGACATATATGATATATCAGTTTTATCTTTCTATGTAATATATTTTAAATTCCTAGCCCGTCCGTGTCTTCCCTATTCCTATTCCTCCAGGAATTAGGATGAATCTATGATCTTTGTGGTCAGGACTTTTGCAACCTTGGTAGTTAAAACGAGCAACTTTCAACAATGAATTTAGTGCTTGATCACGATCGTAGAACTTGTGGGAAGGAACCTTTATGAAAGAAGGTTGTAATAGTGACAAAGTAAGAAGAGAAGCCAAGGTTTTTGCTAAAAATGGAAGAGAATTTTAAAATAAAAAATGATTACTAGTCAACATCACAACAGTGTATATTACGCATGTATGTGTTCGTTTCTTTTTTTTTCGGGTTCCGCTTTCTTCATCTGAGTCTGTGTCTCTGTGTCTTCTTTTTTCTAATCAAATAAAAAATATGATGTGAGATAACGCGTCAATTACTGTAATTAACAATAGTTAGCCCAAGGTCAAGGTCAAGTTCACTGATTTTACTAATTGCATTACGACTCACTTACCAGCAACGTGTTCTACGATAAAATGAATTCGTTTTTTGAAGAAGCAGGTCAGTATGATTGGAAAATATGACGGTGAAAAGCTAAACCACATTATTTCTAATTTTGTTTATTACCCTTTTCCTTGTCATTCTCTTAAAGCTTTTCCCCCACACCACTACCTGGTTCTTCCAATCCTCCTTATCTTTCTTCAACTCCTCTTTTTCTTTCTCCAGTTTGTCTCTCAGTGCTTCCCACCCCTTCTTTTGTTTTACAGTCCTCTCATTTCCATTCAATATCTTGTTCTACAACTCGTTTAACCTTTTCTCTTTCTCCCCTTCCTCAATTGTTATTTTTTAAAAAATAAAATTTTGATTTATTTATATCAAGTGCCTATAAAAATGATGATCATCTAACTTTAAATGGAATTGGAAAGTTAAGTCCCACGCTAACCGAAAAGTTTAACTTACCCCGGACTTACTGCGGGTTTGCGTCAATCATAGAATTAGGAATTAGGACTCGAATTATAAATAATATCTTTTGTTTTAATCTATTGAAACAAACCTTTTATGATGTCTTACACACCTTTTTCTCTGCAGACTCTAATAAATGCATTACCTCTTGAGGATAGCCATCAGGCTACCCAAAGTTCTGGAGGTGGAAGCAGATTGTTTGGAGGAAGAGAGAGTAACAGAACTGGTGCAGGTTCGAGGCTAACAAATAGCATTGGATGGGGAAATAAAGATAGTCAAGTTACGGTAGAATCTGTTGAGGCCTGGGGTAAGTTGACTAATACTCCAATGGCTCTTACGCTTTATAGTTTCAGGACTGACACAAAGAGAATATAGAAATATTATAGAATTCTACTTCAGCTTTTAGTTTGATTTAAAAAATAGTTCAGTTTATCATGTATACTTATTTCATATAATAAATATACTTTTCATAAAATTTTATTATTACATAGATTCATTTTTTTTTTTCGTTTAATATTATTCCAGAAAATAATTTATACATAGGCACTTCGGATGGACAGTTAATTCATTATTTGCTCGATGATCAAGTTTTATCCAAAGATGTATGTATTTTAATTAATTATTAAAAAAAATCCTTATAAAAGTATATTTATGATGTAATAGAAATTTCAACTGATATACATAAAATAAAGAATATACCGAGTAACTTTCTTCTCAGTAAACAAGCTCTTGGTTGGAAGAGGAAAGTTGAACGTATAATGCTTCTTCCCCAGATTAATACTGCGGTTATTTTGTGTGGCAAGTAGTAAAGTTTTATCTTGAGGAATTGGAACTTATATTAATTAAATTTGGGGAATAATTAGAATCCACGTTGTCGTTTTATTCTCTGCCTGAGATGACCGCATTACCAACGACAAACTTCCCATGGATTAAAGGAGTTACATGTTTTTGCCATGATACTTCAAAGGAGGGAAAACTTGAACGAGATGGATCAGTAAAAATATGTGTAATGAAGAAAAGAATGCTACATATATACTCTTTGACAGATAGATATGTCGAAGAAACAGTAAGTAATTAAACATCACATTCAGTAGTTATCTATGAAAATATTTCATTGATCATAATTGAATTTCAATAGTCTATGCAAGTACCAGATGGGGCAATTACTGCATGTCAATATGGTCCTTATGTATTTGTCGCGGACTTGCATCAGTATAAGATAATTAATTTATTAACCAAACGGATGGAAATAGTACAACCATATCTATCTTCTAATGGCGATAGTTTTAACCCTATAGTTACCGTTATCAGAGATGGAGAATTTTTATTGGTCTTACCGGCTAATGATCATATCCTTATTTATGATTATCAATTGGTGTTATTATTCAATTTAATTTACAACATATAATCCTTAATATTGATTGTTTGATTACAAATGACAATTGGACAATTTGTTTCGTCCACAGGGGAAGCCATTCGTGGAATATTACAATGGGTCGGGTTTCCGAGAGCGATCAGTGTCGAATTTCCATATGTTGTTGCGTTATTGCGTAATAATACTATTGAAATTCACGATATAACTGAACTTAAACTTGTTCAACGCGTACCCCTTTCGTCAAAATCAAGAACCATCTCAACCGGACCTGGTATTAAAGTTCAGGTCGCCGGCTTGATTGATAAGTTAAAATTGGAAAGTGGATACTTATTGAATGAAAATAATCCTTATTCCCCCTTAGATAATAATACTTCATCTGATGTAGATGGTTTACAAATTCTCTCTGATCAAGGAGGGTCAAGCAGTAATCAATCCAATTTTTTAGCAACTATTCCCACTCGACTTATAATTGCTGGAAGCGAATCAGTTGTTGCTTTAGCAGCAACCCCTTTGACCGTGCAGGTTTGACTATTCATCTCATAAATTCATTTGTAGCTTAAATTGATGTTTACTGACATTTAATTCATACGCATATGTAATTTTTTATTAAGGCTGATTCAATGTTGGATTCTACCCGCATAGAGGAAGCTTTAGAATTGGCCAAACAAGCGATGAAGACATCAACTCCAGATAATGTCCATAGCGAAATAATGGCAAGTCTTGGCGTAATTTAATAGTATTATTACAATTCATTCACATAAATTTATAACTTGCATAATTGGCATATTTTTATAGCGCCACGAATTCAATTATATTAATCAAAAATCTGGCTTCCTTTACCTTGGAGAGACATTGTTTGAATTTGCCTTTCCACTTTTCGAAGAAGGAGGAACCGATCCTCGATTATTAATTCAATTATTCGGGAACTTGAGAGATATTATAAGAGATGATAATAATTTTACTGTTTATGCCGGCGTTAAATCAATTATCAAACATCTTGGTGGCATTGATAACATTGGTATTTATACGAACTACAAAGAATTGATTTACTTGGTTTAAGTATTGATGTTTTATAATCCTTGATTTAAATCTTTCCCCTTTATAGTATCACGTAGTCTTGTTAAGAATTATGACCCTCATATTAAGCCTGATATTGAGTCATCACACGCTACACAAGAACTTCGTAAAGCTCTCATTAAGAATGCAAAAGAGATGTTACAAAAGTTTCTAACAAAGTATCGTGAACAACGAAGAGTCAAAGGAAAAACTTTGAAGCCAGATAAAAGAAAAATTTTGAGGGTAGAGATATAAACTGAAGGTGGTGTGAATATCAATTCGCAAATTTATTTGTATATTAGTCTAAAATATTTTTAATAAATTTTGTAGGCTATTGATAACGCTTTACTAAGGTTATACGCTGAATCTAACTCGGAACTATTAAATACTTTGTTAGAAAATTCTAATGAATGTGTGTTGGAACTTAGTGAAAAATTTTTACTAGATAACAAGGTGAGGATTAATAAAGTCTTTTAGACATATCAAGTAATAGAAAAGAAAGTTTACATTAATAAATACCTCAATCTATATTTATTAGAAATATTATCCTTTGGCTTTACTTTATAAAGACAATAAAGAATACAAAAAAGCTTTAGAATTATGGAAAAGGTTAGTATTTATTAATCACTAAAGAGATGAATGATTTTGACGTGCTTATTTATAAATTTTGAAATATAGAATTTTTGAAGAGGATCATCCAGACAAGGATGGCCCTAATTGTTTGAAACAAATGGCAAATATGCTTAGAAAGATGGATGATCATGATTTGGTATTAGAATATGCAAATTGGATTATAAAACATGATGAAATTATTGGAGCCCAGGTATGAATTTATCCGGATTAAAATGTATACGTGAACTCATACTGAGATATGCTTTTATTTTATTTAGATATTTATTCAACCTAATTTAAGGCGACCTTTATTGATCGAACCTAGTTTGGTCTTGGACCAATTAAGATCGGTTGGTAAAAACGGACTTAAAGTATACTTGGAATATTTGGTCACACAGCGAAAAAGTCAAGAAGAACAGCATAATACAGAACTGGCACTCTTATACGTAGAAGAATTCGAAACGATGCTGCAATCGAATGAAGTAAAAGCGAGGATTGAAACAATAAGCAAGTATTTCAGATGATGATTTGATTTAAATTTAAAGCAAATTATTAAGCAATTTATTTTTTATAATAGCAAATGAATTTATAAACAGCACAAAAGACTCATCGAAAACGTATTTATCTTTCTTGCTAAACCAATCAACGGAAGATTTATTAACACAAGGACGAGCCACTTTAATTACTTTCTTACAATCTTCTTCGCGATATAATGCAAAATTAGTTTTAAATAAATTACTTGAAATTCATATATTAAAAGCTGAGTTGGCTGTCGTTTATGGAAAGGTAAATTTAATTTATTGTAACTTTTTATTACCGTAACTTTATATTAATTTCAATTCCATTATATTTAAAAGTTGAATAATCATGAGAAAGCTTTGCATATATTAGTCGATGATTTAAAAGACTTTCGTGGAGCCGAGTTCTATTGTCTTTATGCTGGTCGAATGATCGGTATCATATCATCTAAAAAGCAATCGGATAACAAACCAGTAGAAGATAAGGATCTGATTTCCACAAGACGTACTTTATTTTTAATGTTATTAAAAGTTTATCTTCAAATGCAAAATGGGTATCTATTACATTTTATTCCCCATGCACCAATTTATTATTATTATTATTTTATTTAATAAGCATACTTTATTCCATTCTTTTTTTTAGAGATGAAATTATTGAAAAAATAATAAATTTATTGAATACGCATGCGGTGTATTTTGATACCAATGAGGTTAGTAAGCATTCATAACACAAACTTGTGTATAGACGACTTATAAACTTTTTCTTCTGCAATATTCAGGTTATGGAATTATTACCGGAATACTGGTCAGTTGAAATGTTGAGCGAATTTTTGATTCGCTCATTAAGACAAAATTATCATGAGTATAGGGAAGGACAAATTCTAAAAGGATTGTGTCGTGGCGAGAACACCATGGTAATTACTTTTTTATTTTTAAATAATTATTTCAAACTTCAATATTTAAAACTAATTATTTTCCTCCATTTTATAGACAAGTTTTGAATTATATCAAGCATATCAAGCAATTGGACCAATTGTAATAAATCAAAATGTATCATGTTCAAGATGTAAAAAGTATATTAGTGGATCAGATTTTATGAGACAGCCAAACAATGATATTGTTCATGTTCATTGTAATTCGGAGCATAGAGAAAGCAATACAACAGTTTCAGATCCCTTGAGTAATCAGGCATAACTAAACTTTATTTATATTTATATTTAAATTTAGATTAGAAAAGAATGAATTGTATTATTATATAAAATTATTATTTAGGTTTAAAAGTTGTTTTTATTAACTAAGAAAAAAATATAATATGCCATTACACCGAATCCATATTTTTGAAAAAATTTACTTGCTACGCTTTATTTTGGAAAATATGAAATTAATTAGATTTATTTCAATGCTAACTAAAATAGCATAAATTTAATATCTTACGTAAAAATAAACATTTTTGATCAACGATTTACGTAATTAAATGCTAGATTTGGATATCAGAAAAAATATAAAAACGATAATCTGTTTGTTTTTTTATTTCATCTTTTTTAATTTTTTTGATTCCATTAATAATTTTGAAAATGGAACGATTTGTAAGAAATTATATGATTACATCAAACGATGAGACCGAAGAAGCAAAATCCATTGTTTCCAAAATTATATCAAGTATGTCTATTATGAAGTCTTATGATGTAATTTATATTTTCCTTATTTTTCTTTTTATAATTGATTTAATTAGGCATAAAAAGTGGACAATCAAATTTAATATCACTTGTTCAAGTACTTGGTGAATTTTTGACAAGTGAAGATACTACAATTCGTGCTAGAGGTATTGTGATGATATGTTATGATGCTTAATTTAAACAAACATGACGACCAATCAAATTGTTTGATATAAAATATAGGGACTGCACTCTTATCGGCAGTTCTTGCAGATTGTCCGCAAGAACAAGTTAATAATGCAACAAGTAATATAACTACATTTTCATTTTATTAATAAAAATTAGTTCTTAGACAACTTATTTAATATACTTTATAGTAAGAGTGTTGGTAGATTTTTATTGTGAAAGATTATCAGATACAGCAAGTGTACCTGAATTGTTACAAGGAATATTATCACTTACGTATTTTACCACTTTTCATAATGAAAATGCTTTAAGGGTCGCAAAATCGTATGTATTTTTAATCGTATGTCAATATTATATTATATGTGGCTTTTCTATTAATATATTATTGAACTTTTATTTAATAGAATATTTGCTAGTGTAAATGTACAATCATTTCAGCAAACATCTAGACATTACGTATTTCAAATATTTGATAGATTACTAAAAAATCATTTACATGGTAAATACACTCACTAATTAAATTAATTTAAATTTATTTTAACTTTAAGATGATTCTATATTATTTTATTAGCATTAAAGAAAATGGGACAAGATTTTGTCACCGGATTCATTCAAGCAATGGATGGAGAGAAAGATCCTAGAAATTTATTATTAGCATTTTCCTTAGTTAAATTAATTATACACGAATTTGATATCTCTCAGAATATTGAGGTAATTTGTTTTAAAAATTCTTTAAAATTAAAGTTGAATATTATTTTTTAATATGTATTTATTTATTCTAGTCGTTGTTCGAGGTGACATTTTGTTACTTTCCGATTACATTTAAACCTCCTCCTGATGATCCATATGGTATAACAGCTGATGACTTGAAAATTGCTCTTAGGTATAAGATATTTCTGATCAATTTATTTCATAAACTTTTTATATTTCATTAATGATATACAATTATTTTAGGGAATGTTTATCGGCCACATCACACTTTTCCAAATTGGCAATGCCATTATTATTAGAAAAATTAACATCAAGTTCTGGTTATGCAAAGAAAGATTCCATTGAAACTTTAACAGAATGTGTTCCAGTATATGGCCCTGATTCAATCGTACCATACTTGGAAGATTTATGGGAATATCTTAGAGATGAAGTTAATTGATCTTCTTTTCGTTACTAATTTTAAAATTTATTTCCAAGCTGTTAACCTTTTTTCCTTTATGTTCGTATTTAGATAATTAATGCTACAGATGATTCATTTGAAAATATAGCATTGGAAGCAATTAAAAGCATTGTTACTACCTTATCCTTTGGAACAATAGATCATCTACAACAATTTTTAAAGACTCTCGTAACTGAATGTATGGAAAATCTAAAAGAGCCGGAATTGAAATTGGCCAAACCTTGTGGAAGAATTTTAATGTACTGCGCTATGGCTTCAGGTAAATTTATTAAATGATTTTTGGAAAAAAGTATTGAAAATATATATTTATTTTTTTATTTATTTCATTAATAGATCCGTCTTTTAATATTATAATTTTGGCTACTGCGAGAGTTTTAATACAACAATACAAAGAAAGTGATTTGGCAACAAGAAAGAAGAGTACATTGGAAGTTTTAAGAGTTTATATAACAGCAAGCCAAAATCTATATGGTTCAATCGATAAATCGTCGCAAAATCTAGGTAAACATGGTTTACCTTGTTTTTCTGTAACAATAAATTTTCTCTAAATTGACTTTGTTTTCTTTAAAGAAGATGGTGTTGTTACACAGTTGTTACCTTATAAAAATGATTATTTGGAAATATTTAGTTCGGCTTTATATAATCGAAATGAATATAATGAATTAAGGCTGTGTGGATTACGTGGATTACACGATATGATATTTTTGCGTCAATTTTTTGAAGATAACGAAATTGGTGTTATTTTGCAGTATTTTAATCGAGCAATTTTGGAAGAAACTGATCGAGAAATTGCGTAAGTTGAAGCTTTTTCAAAAAAAAAAAAAAAGAAGCGTTTTATAAATTATTATTACTTTTCCTCTACGCGAATATACTAATACGATTCGATTTTATTAAGAGATGAAGCATTAAAATCTTTAGCTAATATAGCTAAATATAAATCACGAATCGTATTGGAAGTTACATTTCCAGTTTTTTTGGGTAAACTGCCTTGTAATGAAGATGAATTGAATAATGATAATATTCCTGGAAATAGTTTAATAAAAGCCAATTATCTAAAGATCTTAGATGCTTTATCCGAATTTGCTGTTGAACCTATATTATTTGAAGCATATGTTCCGCAAGTTTTAAAGAAATTGGGATTTGCTTCTTGTAAGTTACCTTGTTACGCGTTTTTTATTTAAAAAGATCCTGATAAGCTGTTTGAACTAATTTCTATCTTTATCTTTATTTTTTATTTTCTTTTTACAAATATTAAAGCAATTGCTGGAATTGAATATTCAGAATCATTATTACACTCTCTTCACACTTTACTTTTAAAGAAAACTTCATTAAATCATTCTGATATTCCACGTTATGTAAATTCCCTCATTCCTCAGTTATTGACTAAATCTATTATGCCAAGTTTGCACGGTAAAGCAGAAGTAGATAATATAATGCAAAGAGTATTTAATGAGGAAAAGATCATTAAAATTGTTGCTGGAATCATAAGTGCTATTACAAAGAACTTAAATGTTAGGTATGAGATTTGTAAATTTCTTCCTCGAGAAATTTTTTGTCGGAGATTTTTTAAAAAAATATTTTTTTCGCTTATGTGTAGTGAACAATCAATGTTTATCTCTCATATATTTGAAATATTTACGAAAGGCAACTTAAATTCAAGATACCTTGAATTCCCGGATCTGGAGAAAGCATCACTTGATACAATTTTCAACCCACTTTCTGTAAGCCCATTTAATAAGTCTTTCTTGCACTTAAAAAAAAAAGTCATTTATATAAATTTATATTTTTTTTTCTTAGATAGAATCAAATGTTCAACAACAAAATTTAACTTTGTTATTTACGGCAGTTGTTGGGTTTTGCCGGAAAGAAGTATTTAATCATAATAATAAATATTGGCTTTATATGTGATTGCTTTATTAAAATCAATATTTTTCAATTAAAGGTTCCATTTCCGTTACCAAATATTTCGGAATTTCTATCAGATCTTATTGGAGTTTCTTTGAATACGAATAATGAACTTCAACAAATCTCTTTAGCTCAATTAGCTGCTTCAATTCTAAATAAATGGAACCAAGGTCAGTCTTAATTTAATCTATGGAAAGTTGTGATATTACTTCGTATTGATTTTTAAAATTTTTTTATTTTTTGATTTTAAAATAGAAAATGAATTGAACAAATTCGTTGAAACAAAAGTTCTTGGAGAATTAAGGAATCATTTTGTGTCTTCCAGTACAGAGTGTGAAGCTATAAGACGAGCTTCGTTATATATATTCGTTTGGGTGAGCCATCGAACAATCTCGTGTAATCAATGAAAAAAATTTTTTTAATTAATAGTAAAAATCTATATTTTTATTAATAGCTTACAAAAGCATTAATATTGCGCGCTCATCCATTGAGTTATGAATGCGCCAGTCACATCACGAGTCAATTTAGTGACCCAATATTAGAAAAACAAGCCTTAGTAGGGTTTGGGGTTTTAACTGGAGAAAGTGATTTGTTAAATAAAAACAGTTTTGCTGTCATAAGGGCAAGTATCTCTCATAAATTACTTATTTGTATTATAAAATTACAAATTAACAAATACTGTTCAACTATGCAATAGATTCTATATAAGCAGAAATTCTTTAATTATTGTATGCCAATATTAGTTGAGGGTTTCAATTTTGCTAACGATAGTAAGCGTAATTTACTTTTGTATTTTTAACTTGACATGGCACTTTATTAATGAACTCTGTATTTAAACGCAGAATATAAACATAATTATTTAATTGCTTTATCATACTTATTAAGAAATGTTCCTAAACAAGTGTTATTGAGTGAATTGCCACCGGTAAGTCTTTGTTTTTTCATATGGAATTTGTTTCATCATCATTTCTTAAAATTAAATTTTCGTTAATTTCTTTTTTAAGTTATTTCCTTTACTTATTCGATCACTATCATTACCTGATGCCGAACTTAAAGCATCAACTCTTGATACATTTTATATTATATCTGAGGATGCTCCACATATAATATCTGAACATGTATCTTCATTAATACCATTATTATTATCATTGACAAAACCTGATCATGGGAATACTATGGTATTTTGATATATTTCTTTTCTTGAATTGATCAAGCAGAAGGATGATTAATTTTCGAATTAAATTTTTTTTTTTCATTTTGTTAGCGAGTTCGTATAG